GTATAATTAACAAACACGTAAGACCATGTGCATCTCTGAGGTTCAGTGTTGATGACTTCCAGCCTGTTTATGAGACAGTCTTATGGTAATAGGTATGCCACTTGTTAAGAGCTTTAGTTCTGGGTTATGGTGACTGCCTGTGCTTTAGTGAATGAAAATGTGGTCATTTTGACAGGTTTTATTTTGGGAGGCCACTAAGGCTTTTGTGGAAAAGTCTGGGTTAGGTCATCCCTCTAGGAACAGTTGTGGTTACGGCAGATTTATCCTACCATGAACTCCTGGGTTCCTCTTACATTCCCGATGGGCTCAAAACCTGCCCTCCCAGGTGCAGTAGCCTCCCTGGTCTCTCACTGAGGAGTAAAATCCGCCTTCTCATTCAAGAGCCAACTAGGAAGTATAGAAATGACTTAAAAAGCAATTGAGATTTTGCCATAGGATCAGACTGACAATGTGCATTAAGCCCCTGTTTTTCCTGAAAAGGATGTTGACAAATGAGGCGGGAAGTAGCCTTGACTGGTCCAAGGGTCAGTACAGAAAGAAATGAGAGGAGACATTTAGCTCTTGCTTTCAAGTGGAAAATAACATTGAGTCCCCCTCTGCACCCCACTTTATTGTCCCAACCTTAGGATCTGAATAAATACAGTGGTAAAATGTTGTGGGCTCGAGTCTCTGAGAGCTAAACTAATCGGGAAGATTTGTTCCAGGGAAATACTCTCAAGGAGAAATGTTTGAAAATAAGTGTGTTGCCATAAGATTATTTTAAGATTTAGAAACAAAACCACCAGCAGAGTCTTATTCCTTATAAAGATATTTTAGGGATTTAAGAAAGTATTACCGTTAAAGACTTCCTTTAACTATGTCTCTTGTTTGAGCGTTTTGCTGCCTGAAGCAAAGTGGCCTCTGCCACAGAGCAAAGGTACCACGGCTGCACTGGGAGCTGGTCCGGCCTTTGGAATCGTTTCTGCTGACCTCAGAAAGGGGCTGCAGGGGCCACACCAGGCCAGGCCGGAGACTGAGGCAGCCAGCGAGGTGCAGGGTGTTTCCAGCCACGCAGCTCTCCTCTCTGATCGCAGGCATCTGTCACCAGAGGCAGCCAGTGATGATTTCTACAATTTTATGACCCTTGGCTGTCATCCCAATAACAAATAAGTCATAAGCCACCCTCTTCCCCTCTGTAAAATTCCACTTCTGCACCCTGGACGGCTTTTCCAAGATCTTTTTGAAACAGTGAAAACAGAGACTAGAGCCTCGCCTTTTTTATGTATGAACAGCATATTTCTGCTGTTGCCATCTCTGATCACCCCCCTCCAGGGACTTAAAGAGTAAAAAATAAGCAGCAGGGTAGACACGAAAGGAAGGAAATGGCTGTTTTGCTTTGCCTCTTCAGCGGATAAGAGCCAAGTAATTGGTTGTTTCTATATTGTATACAACGTCTAGAGCAATATGGATATTCACTTGATACTGGTAAATAGGGAATAGCCATATTATGTGTTGTTCTAGAATAAGGGGGATGTTGACTTGAGCAAAAAGAGCCATGGGAAGAAACAGGTGAAGTACAGATTCTGAATAAGCAAGCCAGAATAGTCTTGTCGGGCACGAGGATCCCTACAGATGTACAGTCACAGTACATAGGTGGAGGTCAGAGTTCAGGACTGAAGCAAGAAGGGAACCCTCCAGCAGATCCATGGGCCCGGCGGAGGCGGGGCTTGGAGCAGGGGCTGGGTGTTAGCAGAACTGCCCCTAGGAAGGCAGAGCCGAAGTCAGATGGTACAAATGGCATGTTCTGTAGGAACAGAGAATTGGGAATGATCACTAGGTTGGAGTGGTCTGGAAGAAGGAATCTAGTCTGGCTGGTCTTTGGATAAGTTGAGAGAAGGAGCAGTAGAGGAACTGTGTAAGAGTATGAAGGCAGGGCATTTAAGAGACATTCTAGAACCAGTGAATAGAGCAGCTTCATTCGAATTGAGGATCCAGGAAGGTTAATAGAGCTGGAACTAACAAGGTAGTTGGAATCAACATGCAAAGGTGTTGAGTTCCCAACTTTATCTCCTTGACACTAAGGAGCTACTGAAGTTTGAAGAGGGGAGTGACATGCTCAGAGATGTTCTAGGAAGATTAATCTGGTGGCCAAATATAGGCAAATTAAAGGGAGCCAGAGTGCTCAGGTAGGTAAGATGTCTAGATTTGCTTTAGTCCAACTAGAAAGTGATCAACGCTTTCACTATGGAAGTGGCAGCAACAGCAGAAATGATTGGATGCACATGTTTTGCAGGAAGGAGTAATGAATAAGGCTTAGCACCTTCTTATCTATGAAGGTAAAGAAGAACCATCATAGTTCATAGTTTTGGGCCCAAGTGACTAGAAAAACACTTTATGAGCAGTCATGGAGATGTTAGAACGGAGGGTGAGATGGCTCTATTTTTAGGAACAGATGAGGAGTTCGGCTTTGGAAGCGCGTCTTTGACATTGTTGCAGGAGGTAACGATCTATCACTGTCACCTCTGAAGGAGAGCCCAGCCAGTGTAAATGTGTGGGGTCACCTACACAGAGGTGACGGCTTAAACTGCTTGAATGGATGATTATCTACCAGTGAGAACAGAGTCAAAACAGTGGAGATGGGAACATTTTAAAGGAGGAAGAGCGGTGGGTGTGGTGGCTCACACCAGTAATCCTAGCACTTTGGGAGGCTGAGGCACATGGGACACTTGAGGTCAGGAGTTGGAGGCCAACCTGGCCAATGTGAAATCCTGTCGCTACTAAAAATACAAAAATTAGCTGGACGTGGTGATGCACACCTGTAGTTCCAGCTACTCAGGAGGCTGAGGCAGGAGAATGGGTTGAACCTAGGAGGTGGAGGTTGCAGTGAGCCAAGGTAGCACCGCGCCAGCCTGGGTGACAGAGCAAGGCTCTGCCTCAAATAATAATAATAAAATAAATAAAGAAGGAAGAGGAACCACCCGAGAGCAGAGTATGCAATCAGACCTGGGAGAGGGAGGTTACAGATTCACTGAAGTCCAGATAAGAGCATCAAGAAGGAAGTCGTGGTCAGCAGTATCAGATGTTGCAGACATTAAGAAGAACTGGCTGAAAAAAGGCCATTGGATTAAGCAATTAGGAAGTCATTTACCTTTAAGAACAGCAGCCCATAGAGATGGATTAAGATGTGGGCATCAAAGAAAAGGGAGCATAAACCATTGATCACAGGTGAGAGCAGGGCGAGAATTAAGAGGGGGGAATGCGGCTGTTACTCCTTTTGCCTTCCACGTTGGGAGTTTGTGTGTGCACACACATGAAGGCAGAAGAAAAAGATGAGTGATTGATTCATTTGGCTTCCATATTAAGTTCCTACTAAGTACCTGGATCCTGTTAAGTACAGGGAGAAATGGAAAGCTACAACAGCAAGAACAGTGGCAGAAGCAGGTTCAAGAGAAAATGGGACAAATATGGATCATAAGAATGGGGAAGTGTCTTAGTGTTGGAAAAGAGCAACACCTCTTTCTCTCAGACTGGAGAGAAGGAATGAAGGATGATGATGTAGATTCAGGAATGTTCTGAAATGAAGAAGGAAATAAAGGGGGAAGGTAAGGCTGACCTCAGGCATCTAGAAAAAGTGGATGTTGGGTCATCGACCAAGAGAGAACATGGACTAGGATGATAGTTGATGGAGTGGAAAGGATGTTGAATAGCTACTCTAGGTAATGCCAGGGGCTCAAGAGTCAGGAATGAGGTTAGCCCTCACCAACACTGCTTGCAGATGCTCCCCTTCCCTGTGCTTCTGTGAGAAATGTTTGTCAACTATGACTTAGAAGATGAGCAATGTTTGTTTCCCTTTTTACCTTTAAGGAGTTATCCTTCTTCATCACCTTTTTTCTATAAATTCTTGTTTCAGTATCACCATAATTTGTACAAGTGTTCCAGAACAATGGTCTTAAAGGTTTCTGAGTTCATCTAAATTGTGGATGAGTTGTTCGTATGAAATAATAGTACTTTCGGCTAGGCGCCGTCACTCACGCCTGTAATCCCAGGACTTTGAGAGCCTGAGGACGGTGGATCACCTGAGGTCAGGAGTTTGAGACCAGCCTGGCCAACATGGTGAAACTCCCATCTCTACTAAAAATACAAAAATTAGCTGGCTGTGGTGGCACGTGCTTGTAATCCCAGTCTTGGGAGGCTGAGGCAGGAGAATGGTTTGAAATCTGGGAGGCGGAGGTAGCAGTGAGCTGAGATCACGCCACTGCACTCCAACCTGGGCAACAGCAGTGAGACTCAATCTCAAAAAAGAAAAAAAAGAAATAGTACTTTCTAGAGAAATGGATTGATATATGAAATTTAGCAGGAAAGGTGAGTGAACGGAGCCCATGAATGGGGCTACCCAGTCCCCACCAGTGAGGCTGATAAAATGTTTTAGGCTGTCGAGATGAAAAAGTCACTCAATCCTACAGAATTCATTTACGATGACTAAGATGCCAGGTAGTAATTAGGGTTCCTCCAGGATCCAGAAGATCCTGAGTGGCCTGATGATGGGGCCTGTGTGGGAAGATGTTTCCTCAAACCAGTGAACCTGACAGGGTCTGTTGACAAGGCCGAGCTGATTATGTGGGCAACGAAGCACCTGACACTTGGTGGTACCTCCTGAGTCTTCAGTTTCAGTAGGAAGCAGCCCAGGGAGAACTGAGGAAGAATCCATCTCTGCCACAAATAATGTTTATAAAAAACAAGTGATGACCTCGGTCCTGACACTGGAATTCTGTTGTTGCGTCTCAGCTGTGTTGCTGGCACCTAATGGTGGCAGGTGACACCCTGGAACCACTTGGTTCCACAAAACTCAATGACCAGAATGTGCTTCTGGGTGGAACAGATTCAGTTTTCCAACCTTGTTTTCAGGTGGGAAGAAAATACTCTATATGGCCGAAGCCACAGCTGAGCACTGAAGGGGATCTGTTGAGCTGACTTGTACCAAGGTGACTCCGAGACTTACCTTTTGCCTCCTTTCCTTGTAGGTATGGCCTCACATGTGCAAGTTTTCTCCCCTCACACCCTTCAATCAAGTGCCTTCTGTAGTGTGAAGAAACTGAAAATAGAGCCGAGTTCCAACTGGGACATGACTGGGTACGGCTCCCACAGCAAAGTGTACAGCCAGAGCAAGAACATCCCCCCGTCGCAGCCAGCCACAACCGTCAGCACCTCCTTGCCGGTCCCAAACCCAAGCCTACCTTACGAGCAGACCATCATCTTCCCAGGAAGCACCGGGCACATCGTGGTCACATCAGCAAGCAGCACTTCTGCCACCGGGCAGGTCCTCGGCGGACCACATAACCTAATGCGTCGAAGCACTGTGAGCCTACTTGATACCTACCAAAAATGTGGACTCAAGCGTAAGAGCGAGGAGATTGAGAACACAAGCAGCGTGCAGATCATCGAGGAGCATCCACCCATGATTCAGAATAATGCAAGTGGGGCCACTGTCGCCACTGCCACCACGTCAACTGCCACCTCCAAAAACAGCGGCTCCAACAGTGAGGGCGACTATCAGCTGGTACAGCATGAGGTGCTGTGCTCCATGACCAACACCTACGAGGTTTTAGAGTTCTTGGGCCGAGGGACGTTTGGGCAAGTGGTCAAGTGCTGGAAACGGGGCACCAACGAGATCGTGGCCATCAAGATCCTGAAGAACCACCCATCCTATGCCCGACAAGGTCAGATTGAAGTGAGCATCCTGGCCCGCTTGAGCACAGAGAGTGCTGATGACTACAACTTCGTCCGGGCCTACGAGTGCTTCCAGCACAAGAACCACACGTGCTTGGTCTTCGAGATGCTGGAGCAGAACCTCTATGACTTTCTGAAGCAAAACAAGTTCAGCCCCTTGCCCCTCAAATACATTCGCCCAGTTCTCCAGCAGGTAGCCACAGCCCTGATGAAACTCAAAAGCCTAGGTCTTATCCATGCTGACCTCAAACCAGAAAACATCATGCTGGTGGACCCCTCCAGACAGCCCTACCGAGTCAAGGTCATTGACTTTGGTTCAGCCAGCCACGTGTCCAAGGCTGTGTGCTCCACCTACTTGCAGTCCAGATATTACAGGTAAGACCATCCGCATGGAGACAGGAGCTGCTGAATGCCCAGTGGCACTCACAGAGAATGCGCAGCCTTAGTACACCTGCAGTTCCTGTCCTCAAGTGATCGTAATGTACTTAGGAAATTAGGACACGTGCACATCGCAATGTCAATTGGAAGTCACATTAGAACGGAGCCAGGTAAGATCCGTGGCATAGGTGTCCGGCGTTGGAAGGGCTCCCTGGGAGCTGGGGTGCAGAGCAGAGGCGAAGCGGAGGAGTTCCATCCTCCCAGACGGTAGGATCCAGACAGGTGGTGGAGAGAGAGGGATGTACCATCCATGGTCCACAGTCACATTAGTGGGAATATACAGGAGACAAGAAGGACACTCGCCTGGCCAGAACAGTTTGTGAGTGGTGGGAGATGTGAGTGAAAGGACGGGTTGGAACCAGGTCACTGGGGTATCTTAAATAGCAGATCAAGGAATTGCGAGTATATCCTCAAACCCAGAGCAAGCCCTGGAAACCTTGAACAACATAAGGTAACAGGATGAAAAGGCTGTTCTGAGAAGGTTCCTTGGCTATCCATGTGCAGAGGGCTGGAGGAAGGGAGAGACTAGTCTGGGGCCAGTTGGTGGGCTCCCGTGGTGAGGTGGCTCCAGGCTTCAGGTCAGGATGATGGAGGAATTATAGCATTGTCCACGGCAGGGAAGTGTATTCACTCACAGACTCACACATGCAGTCGTTCAGCAAGCTTTGATTTCACTTCTAACATGTGCCAGGCACAGTGCTAGGTAAAGGGATACAGACAGGGCCCTTGCCATCCTGGGGCATCTGGAAGCTTTTCAGGGACCCCTGTTTGCAGTCAGGATTGGAACCGCTGCTGTCACGGCACTGAGATCAGAGTGCTGGCCTTGGAGTCATAACAGGCCAGGGTGAGCCTGGTCCCTCCGCTCCTAATTGCCTGATTTCTCCATGCCTTCATTTCCTAACCCATGAAGTGGGAGAGATCCTCTCACCAGCCTAGTGGGCAGCTGGGAGACGACACGGCTGTGACACGGGTTAGGTGTGTCACTCCGTGCCCGGACTTGGAGGGTGCACAGCGGGGGGGTGGCAGGGCTGGAAAGCAAGAGACCGCTCTGTGGAATCAGCATGGGGGTGTCTTTGGGGTGGGGCCGAACAGTTCAGTGGAGATAGAAGTCACAAGAAACAAAACTGAAACTCCCATGAGAAGATGGGGTGGAGGCACATTTAAGAGTGTGCCACGTAGGCAGGAACACCAGAGTCCCCAGAGGCCATCCTGCTGAGACCTCCTGCCCGACACTCATTTGTGGGTGTGCTTCCTCCCATGCCTTCCAAGGCAGCAGAGAGAAGGCTGGGACGTGCACCAGGGCCGTGTCGACACAGCTGACCTGTCACCCATTCCTGGGGCCGACCTGGGCCAGCTTCCCCTTCTTGCTCCCGCTCTGGGCCCCCAGCTGGCTTCAGGCAGAACTGTTGCCTGTCTCCTCCCAGCCCTCCTTCGGCCTGCTAGGCCTCCTGCCCTCCTTCCCTGGGAGAGCAGCAGCCCCTCCGCATGGGTCCCCAGGTGCCCTCTCACCTTCCACCCCGTCTCCCTTTATCCTGATCCTGACTCACACAGGAGGTTTCCAGGCCTCTCCACCCGTGCTGTTTCTGTTTCTTTCCTCCAACTCCCTTTAGAAAGCATTTGCTGAGTTAGAGCCACTCTCTGAGCCTCTTCTCTGCCCTGCCCCAGGATTCCTTTCCCGCTCATTTCCTATGTGCAGGAAAGGTCTCCGCTGGCCTGTGCTTTCCCACCAGGCCTTGTGCAGACAGACGGACCTACCACTGCCACTCCACTTCCTCTCCACCCCTCCTCCCGACCCATGCCAGCTGCTCTCTGCACCCCCAGAGCCAGTGGCAGGGAGAAGTGAGCCTAGGGCGGGAACCCCCGAGGAAGGTGGGCACCTCCTGTGTCCAGAGGAGAAGTATGGGCAGTGGTTGAGTGAATCTGGAGGGTTTGGTGCCCAGTACTGACAGCATGTGTTCTCTGTAGAGAGCGGCTGGGCCTCCTCTGAAAGCCAGCCCTGGTAGCCACCCTGGGTACCAGCCCTGCTGGAGGGTAGCTGGTGCTGTGCTGGCTCTCTGCTACCCCTCACAGGAGGCCACTGTGCCACTTCATATTTAGGTTGGTAAATTCAGCATGGCAGAGGCTGGCACTTTCTAGATCTTGGCCTGAATTCAGGGCAGACAGCCTCTAACTTGGCTGCTGGGGCTTTTATTTCATTCATCTGAATTTCTGCGTCATGAACACATACCGGTGTTATTGAAATATACTAAAATCTAGCAGTAATTTTACTCACATGCAGTCATTCAGTACGCTTTGATTTAACTTCTAACTTATGCCAGGCACAGTGCTAGGTAAAGGGATACAGACAGGGTTCTTGCCATCCTGGAACATCTGGAAGCTTTTCAGGGACCCCTGTGTGCAGTCAGGATTGGAACCGCTGCTGTCACGGCACTGAGATTGGAGTGCTGGCTTTGGAGTCATGACAGGCCGGGGTGAACCTGGTCCCTCCGCTCCTAATTGCCTGATTTCTCCATGCCTTCATTTTCTAACCCATGAAGTGGGAGAGATCCTCTCACCAGCCTAGTGGGCAGCTGGGAGACGACATGGCTGTGACACGGGTTAGGTGTGTCACTCTGTGGCAACTCGTAAAAAGACTTTTACACAACTGTTTAAAAGGCAGCAGCTCCTTAGAGCAAAACTGGGTGAATCAAAGAAGCTGAATTGGGGTTCCTAGGCCCCCTTGTCGTCTCGCCTTCTGGTGCCCATGTGACGCTTCCTGGAGCCCTCCCTGTCCATCTGCTCAGACTCTGCAGTTTTTCTTCGCTTTCCTGCCTGGTGCTGGTGACCCTAGTGCTGAGGAGACAGGCCGCGAAATCTGGGATCCTAGCTCAGGAAGCCTGCGGCGGCAGTGGCAGTTTGCCTGTGAGAGCTGGGGAGGGCTGACTCCTTCACCTGGACTTACGGCGGTCCTCTCCTGCCCTCTTCTGTGGGCAAGATCAGGACTTTTGGGTGCCTCTGGTGGGTGTGACAGGCTGGTTTGCTGGCTGTTCCTGGGCCCTCGGGTGCCCTCTTATTTCCACGTAGCCCCTGCACCCCCACATCCCTCTGAAGGATCCTCCACTTAGTTGTGATAGTACCCTCTTTTCACCCCTGAAATGACCATTGCCTAAAATTCTGAGCAAGATGGCCTCTTCCTCCTTCCTGTGGTCACCTTGGCCTTCAGCCCCTCACGTCAGCCTCCCTGTGCCCAGCCTTAGTTCCAAGGACACGGTCAGCAGGAAAAGCAGCCGCTCTTCTGCCTGAAATGAGGCTTTGTTTCTCAGTTGGCGCAATGCTCTATTTCTCCCCCAGGCTTTGTCTCAGCCCTGCGGTAGTTTGCCGCCATGTAGATGGATCTGAGTTTTCGAGGACAGTCTCTAGTGCTCTGTCTCTGTTCATCCCAGCTGTGTGGGACAGCCAGCTCTACGCCACATTTATCAAATTGATTTTCCCAGTGGCTTTGCCTCTTATTAGGAAAGACAGGGGGCAAGGAAGGCTCTTTAATTGTCCATCATTAAGGCCCATGTCCCAGAAGGCAGGCACTTTCAGCTACCTCTTGAGAGAATGGCTGCATGTTTGAACTGCCTGGGCTGGAGCACACCCAGCCTCCTGGCAGGTTGGCCTTTGTCCTGCAGGTGGGGGTGGGAATTTCTCCCCATGGCCACCTAGAGCTGGGCACATTATGCTCCCAGGACATCTGACTTTCAAAAGGTAGAGTACTTATGTGTCCCTCTGCCATTTTACATGGGACTATGCTGTGTCTCATCCCACCATTGTCCCCACCTGGTGACGCTGAAACGGCGTGATACAAGAATATGTCATCCTCGGCCTGAGGGACTTGGGAAAGGTGGTGTTGTCCCCGGAGCCAACTATTTTCCCCAGCTGTCAGGCGTGTGCCTGCCACAGTGGCTGTTGGTATTCTGTGAGGCAAGTCCAATGGTGTGTTTTTCAAGAAACAAAATCTGCTTTTTAAGGTTTTTTTCTTTTGAGTCTGAAGCAGGGGTATTCCCTTCCAACTCGAAGGTCAGTTGTGTAGTTAACTGTCAGCTGCATGGGTTCTCAGGCTTCGCTGTGCACGGGAGTCACCTGGAGAGGTTGCTGGGAACAATTTCTCCCTGGAAGTGCCCTGGGAGAACGTCCATACCCACTACCATAGAGACTGGCCTCAGAGAATAGAGGTGAGCCAAGCAGGTGGTCTTAGGACCACTCTTTGGGAAACATTGTTCTGAGGGACAGAGGGATTTTCTTAATGGTGTCACATTTCAGGTATTCACAGCAAAGGAACAGAGCTGCGGTAATCCTCACTTGCATTGCTTCACCGTGGGCATCCCTGCCATTTCCTTATTTAAGTCTACATTGATGCCAGATCATTTGTTTGTTTTTAGTTTTTCTGTTTTTTTTTTTTTTTTTTTTTTATTTGCAAGCAGTAAATTGGTGCTGGGGTATTTCTGTCATCAGCAGAACCAGCAACTAAAAATAAGTCCTAATATGAAACTCCACTCTCAGGAAAAACACAAACAAAAAGACATGCCATTCAGGCAAAGGGTGATCAGTGATTAAAATATGTAGATTTTTTTGTTTGTTTCTGCTCTGGATTATTCTTGTCTAGACTTTTTTGAAACATGTAAGACTGTTACCAGGACCCAAAAATTGAGCATACAAAATTAGGACATGAGAATAGCAAATAATCCACTTTTTCAGAATAATCTAACCTTTTTTTTTTATCTGATTCTTTGGGGTACAGAGACTGTCTTCAGGTTGATTTTATGGTGGTTTTGGGTAGGGGTATGTATTAGTCCATTCTTGCATTGCTAAAAGAGATACCTGTGACTGGGTAATTTATAAAGAAAAAAGATTTAATTGACTCATAGTTCTGTGGGCCGTATAGGAAGCATGGCTGGGAGGCCTCAGGAAACTTT